TTAAGGACCTTGTTCAGTGCCACAGCCAGTGATTAGGGGAGGCAGGATTAAATCCTGATACGTATTTTTTCTGTTTCTGACATCCTGCATATGTTAGGTTGAACCATATAGAAATTGTTTTCATTCAATCATGTCTGACCCATAAAGAAAGCCTTTTTTTATGATCCAAACTGGAAGCAGGGATCACCTCTTTCACAGCGAATGGCTGGTTCGGTGTTTGTATTCATGGCTAAGGTACTGGATACGTGGGGACTGAGAATGTCCGTCTTGCTCACCATTGTCTCCAGGGACTGTCTGACTTGTGGTTGGCATTTGATAAGTGTCAGTTGAATGAACTGTTACAACCAAGAAATTTTGGTTATTTCCTCCTACCTTCTTCCCATATATATGTCATTTCTGTTCCCCCATATCTATGTCATTTTTAGAGGAACCGGTGGATAAACACATGCTGTCCTGAAGGATGCGGGCTCAGCAGGGATAATTGTGACATAATCAACTATTTGACTTCAACAGAACCCTTTAAGCTAATGAAGACGTTAATAAAAACATACTCCTGCTAAGATGACCTTTTAGTTCAGAAACTGGAAAATGTAAACGGTTTGTGCTTCCCACCAGCACACTGTGATTTTGGTTAGAATGTGTGTGATACTAAGAATGCCATCCACTCAGATCCTTATTTGAGCCGTAAACGCGTTTTTAAAAAACATTTTGTAGTCGCTAAAAAAGCAGTATTTCAAAATGAAAACCAGTGCAGAAGTAGTTGGCACATCTGGTAGTCAGAAAAGTTGTACAGTTTGTTTTCAGCAAATAACAAGCCAAGGAACATTTAAACTTGGCCAGTTGAAAACTTTTTTTCTATCTGTGGTGACACCTGGTTTTAAAAAAATTGGCTCCAGACTCGAAGCAGATAGAACATTGGAAATGAGTTGTGAATTAAATAGAATCATATACTGTCTTGTCTTATGCAAGGAATTATAAAGAACTGTTTTACTTCAAGAAAAAGAATGGGGCAGAAATGCAATGACAGTTATGAGCAATAATAATAACAACAACAATAGCAGCTAATACCTCTTGAGTACCTACTATGTGCTAGACAATGTGCAGAGTCCTTTACATGTGTAAGTTACACTAGATATACCACAACCTTATGAGGTGGTGTTATTTTTAATCCCATTTTACAGATGAGAAGACACAGACATGGAGATAAGGCATGTTTCAGTAATGTGCCCAAGTCAACAACTCACAGCAGGGCGGGGAGGATCCCAGGCAGGCTGGGGAGCCCACCCTTCAAGTACTGCATTATTCTGAGTAGTCTGGAGGCATTCATTCTGTCTAGAGTTATGAAAACAATTAGATGGTTGCATTGAGCACAGTGGCCCCAGGTCAAACAGTTATTTGCCTCTACTTTTGAGACAGATGACACCATTTTCCAGAACATTCTCACAGCTGTGCCACAAACAAGAAATGTACCATTTAGCCCAAAGCTTCTAGGATGCCATCTGTATGTGACACCTGTCAGAAGCTGTCACTCCTCTGTGATTAGATGAGGTTCAAGTTGACCCGTATATTTGGGAGTAGGAGGTAATACAGTAAAAATCACGGAGATGCTGGGAAATAAGCAGTACTGTGGAATGTGTCAAAGGATGAACTTAGTTGGAGTTTGTTTGTGAAAAAATGGCACTGCCTTTAAACAAACAAAATCAAGAAGGATTTGGTGGAAGTAATTTGTCAGTATTTAATATTCATGTATATCACTGTCTTTTATTGTCATTCATTCATTTCTTCTTAACTTCATTGACATACTTTATTGTTTATGTGCTGTTTAGGCTCTGGGCTAGGGCCTGAGGAAGCAAAGATTCCACAAACAAGGGCTTGACCTTTAAAATGCAGCAACATATAAAAGAGGAGGGGGTGACAGGCATGTAAACCTTTTCGTTCCATGAAGGTTTGGGGGCAGATGTGTTATGAAAGATTGTAGGGAAATTAAAAGAAGAATTTGTCAAACCTTCCCAGCTGGCAGTGGGAGTGGGGAAGTCATAGAGATATGACCTTTGAATTGAGACCTTGAAGATACAGAGGTGCCCACTAGGTAGACAAGTTAGGGGAAGGGCATTCTAGGCACAGAAGACCATGAACAAGGAAAAGGGTTAGAAATTTCCCAGCCATTATATTAGTGCTTTTCCCGTCTAACCTATGCATATTTTCATATCAGAACATCTCTGAAATAGCAACACCATGCACTAGTTTAATTGACCTTGCATGTTCTAACTGGTACATAAAATATAATGGTATGTCTTACAATATATGGCGTCTTAGATTTGATGAAAGTTCTTGGGTGTGCTGTTCCTAGCAGCTAATAAGTTTTTGTTTTAGAGGTAGATAATACCTTTTGACTGAGGAGGAAGAAGACATGAAATGAATGAGTTGCTGAGATAAATATATGACATTGAATTTGACAGAATACCTGACAGCTGATGTTGCTGTTAATAGCTTAGCTGGTACGGATGGGACCTCGGGAGAGAACTGGAGTGTCTTTTATACTGGATTAGGCTATGAACCATCATGTTGCCCTTTTTCTGAGGTAAAGGGGGATTTTAAAAGAAATGGCATGTAGTTTGATAGAATTTATGAAGATACTAAGTTTATGGTCATTGAATAAAAATGTAACCTCTACTTTTTTTTTTTTAATCATGAGGATATTTTTCCATTGATTTTTTTCAGATAGAGTGGGAGAGAGGAGTAGAGAGAGAAACATTGATGTGAGAGTGACACATAGGTTGGTTGCCTCCCGAACGGGGCTGGGAATCGAATCTGTGACTCTGGTCCACAGGCTGGTGCTCTAACTACTGACCAAAACCAGGCAGGGATCCACTGCTCTTGGAAATGGGATGAAACCCTGATGTTCTATGAGTTATGAAAAGAGACTATAACTGATCCTTCAAGGCATAAGAAGATGCATCAGATATAAGCCACAGTGAAAGAGGTAGAGGGAAAGTTCTGGTTTGTGTATCTTTAAAAAAAAAAAAAAAAAAGCATTTTCCCTTAGAGGTAATGACTTTGGAAAGTATCCACAGAACAAACAAAACAGCCAGCACCTAAACTTAAGCACCCAGGTGCCATGAAAATACACCCCAGTGAAATCTGTTTATGCTCTGTCAGTAAATCCCTGGTGGCCTTGGGCAAGTCAGTCACTACTTGGATTTTACTTTTCCAGAGGGCTGGACTATAGCAAGCTTCCTGTCGGCTGAAGATGTTGTGACTTTCCCAGCATTTTGAAGGCCTGGTTTTATTGATGAGAGCATAGTGATTGCCCTAGGGTCTTATTTATCCTTCAGTTTTGTGGGCTCTTAGAAGAGAATGTTTCAAAAGATGACGGTCATTTTCTGGGCTATTGATTTACTTTTTTGGACAAGAAAATAGGAAATTGTATCCCCTAGGGCTAAGGAAAGTTCTAATGATGCTTTTCCACCTACTTTGATCCCACATATATCAATGAGAATGATGAGAAGTTTGGTGAGAAAAATTTAGAGCCTAATTTCTTAAGAACTGAGGTCATACTTATTTTTGTTCGTTTGAAATGGAAACAGAGTGTACAGTCACTGAGACTTGACCAGGTAGTTTGCAAAAAAAAAAAAAAAAAATACATCCATGTAAAAAGAATGTCTAGAATGATTCAACCGTTATTATTTTTTTGTAAGTGAGTCATGACAGTGTTTGCCTTTCTCCTCTTTGCTTTTCATTTTCCCTAAGGACACAGATTCTTGTGGGTTTCTTCCTTTTTTTTTTCTTTCTTTCCCTTTTGAGTATGTACCAAATTTTACTATATTCAAAGACTGTTAATATTGAAATGAAAAATCAATGTCTAGTTAGAATGAGTGTTCTGTTTATGGCTCTCTCATCCCTTTTTTTTTTTTTATCCTCACCCAAGGACTTTTTTTTTTTTAATTTATCTTCAGATAGAGATGGAGGGAGAGTGGGAGGAAGAGAGAGAAATATTGATGTAAGAGAGACACATCGAGTGGCTGCCACCCACACAACCCCAACCGGGGCCAGGAACAAACTGCAACCAAGGTAGATGCCCTTAGTGGGAACCGAACCCAGGCCTCTCTGATCTGCGGACTGACACTCTAACCACTGAGCCAAGCCAGGCAGAGCCATGCTGATTTTTTAAAAATTGGTTCTATGTCCAATGACAATGTATTGGGATGAAGAGGAGAAATCAAAGATGGAGAGACATAGCCAGACTATATTCTTCTTCTTTTTTTTAATCTTCACCCGAGGATATTTTTTTGTTTATCTTCAGATAGAGTGGGACAAAGAGAGGGGGAGAGAGAGAGAAAGAGAAATATCGACGTGAGAGAGACATCGATTGGTTGCCTCCCGTACAACCCAACCAGGGCCAGGGACTGAACCACAACCGAGGTGAGTGCCCTTGACCAGAATCAAACCTCAGGACCTTGGTCCATGGGCCAACACTCTAATAGCTGAGCCAAACCAGCCAGGGCAGCCAGACTATATTCTTTTAAAGAGGCTTTTTGGAAGGCCAGAAATGGAATGAAGTAAACCAGTTAAACCAGCTTCACTCCCCCTTTTTCCCCCCCATCCCACCAGCAGCATCAACTTTCATTGCTGGGTGATTCAGGATAATAGCTATTCTAGAAAAGACTTGGTTTGATATAAGTAATCCCATCTACTTATCACCTTAATCCTTTAGGTAAGGAGATGATAAAATATGATTCTTAATATAACTGGGCACTTGTATACAGAAGGAACAGTTTATAAGCACATTTTTTATAAGTGGTGATTATAGATGAGCTTCTATTGTAGCATTATGGCTTTTTCATTGCAGTTAGAGGAAACTTTTTGGTGTCACTGATACTAAAAAAAAACATCCAAGGACTGTCTCTAAAGAAGGGACCTGATAAAAGTGTGCACATGTGTGTATTTACTGATTTCTGATGTAAGGGACATGAAAGCTAACCTGATTCGTTTGTTTTTAGGGGCTCTTGGCTTTGGGCCTCAGTGCAAGGCCATTGGAAAAGGCAGCTGCAACAATCTAGTGGTCACCAGCAGCCCCATGATGGTTCAGCGACTGGGACCCATTTCACCTCCAGCAAGCCAGGTCTCTACAGCATGCAACCAGATCAGTCCTAGCTTACAGAGGGCAATGAATGCAGCCAACCTGAACATACCTCCTTCAGATACCAGGTCTCAAGTTACTTTTTTACCCTCTTCTTATGGTATAATAACACCCCTTGAGTGTTTTCCCTTCCCTTCCTGCACACGTACACATTCACTCACACTCGCGTAAGCTACTCTTATAATTTGAGCTTTTTTTTTTTAGGGGAATGTGTATAAAACTTAAGTATGTGCCGTAATATCATCCTAATTGGTAGGAATAGTTTACATGATTTAATACCTGCTGCCCTGTGGTGTGAGTGAAACTAATGCACAGCTTGAGATGTTGGGGCCTCAGTGACTAAACTCCAGTGTGTAAGTTTGTCAGTTCCTGGTGAAGCAAGTCGTGTGTCATAGCCTAGAAAACTGAAATGTCCATGTGCATCTGTCTTTCTTGTTCATTTTTCATTGTGTATGTTGCAGTGTCTCCAGGCTGCTTTACAACTGTTTTGTCTGTCTATCTGTCCCCCTATCCACCCATTTACTGGAGTGCCTATTAAGTACCTTATGTCTACATAATACAACAGTTAAAGTTTAGAGAGATAGTAGAAACAATGAAGATTGAAATCATGAATTTCAAGACTTCATGATGTGTCTGGGAAGACATACTTTCATGTGTGAGTTACATAACATTTCAACACAGTGTCTGACTAGGTGCCAGAATAAGTAGGCCTAATAAATGCTGCGTATCTTTCCATGGGAGAGAATTAAGTAGGAAAAGGGAAACCACCCCCTCAGACAAATATACCTCTTAAGGTTGACATTAGAGGGGACATGAAGTCAAAATGCTGTGCAATGTATAAGGTCCATTTCTGTGTTTGAAATGAATGATTTCATCCTCTAGAAGTTGCATTCTTGGAGAATGCAAAGTTTTTGCCTCTGTGTCCTGGCTCTGTTGTAACTGTGATTTTGCAAAGGAATTTGACTTTTCAGACCTCTGCTTCCTCTTCTTAGGGCTGGAAATCTACTGAGATGCCTTGCAGTTCTGGGATCTTATTTCTTCTTCTCCTTCCTATTTCTTTCCCTTCTTCCCCTCCTTCCTCTTCTTGTGTCTCTGCATTGTCCTCCTAGCTGCTATTTGAGACTCTGAAATCATAGCTCCTGGATTATTTTTTGTGCCTTTTTTTTTTTTTTATGATATGGAAACTTGTTTTTCACCTGAGATTTTTTGTGAGGGGAAGCTGCTGCTGTCATTTTCCCATTGATGATTATGCCTTGAGGGACTCCTGAGACTTGCTGAGTTTGCATGTAAAATTAACTGCTCATGGGGTAGGTGTCATTGGGAAGCCTTGGGCTTCCTGTTCGTGGCAAGTCCAGCCTATGCCTTGAAGGCAGAGAGTCATAATTAACGGAGAAACTGACGGGTAGGAAGGGCACAAGCTGCTCCAGCCACGTACCTAATGCAGTCTCTTGACCAGGAAGTGTTATTATCTCTGTGTTTTCTGGCATATTTGATTTCTTCGCATAACTTTATATCCTTAAAAGACAACATCTTAAAGAGGCATTGACATATGTTTTTGACTATGTATTTTGTGAGTCCTCCTGTTGAAATAATTTTTTTTTTTTTTTTTTGCATGATGAGCAAAGAAACAGGAATTGGAAAGTGGCTTGGTGAAGTATGAAACTTACTTTTAGCAATTTGGAAAGGTTGCATTTATTTGTGACCCTTGGTTTGTGTGTTCTGTCAGAGGAGAGAAAGGACTGGAGGCAGCAATACAACTTGAAGGCATTTGCTGTCTAGAGATAAAGATGGAGAGAGAATCAGCTTGGTGTGTTATCCATTGGGGGCAGAGTATGGGGAGATGGGCATGAACTGTTCAGTGTGAATGATGGCCACCCTATGGAAAGCTATAATTTTATTGTTCTTTCCTGATTATCTATATAATTCTTACTCTTGTAGAAAATGTGGAAAATATGAAAGAGCACAAGGCAGTAAATGATAGTCATTCTGAATCTGACCATGCTCAGGCCACCATGGGTGGAATTTTGATACATCCTTCTAGTTATACGCAACACATACTTCATAAGCATAGGTTTTTCTTTGCACCAAATTGATCTAGTAATCTATACAGTGTTATAATCACTTTGTTCAGTTAATATAAATACTTCCTCTTGTAATGAAAGTCTTCAGCATCATATAATGGCTTCTTCCTACCCAAGATTCCATTTTATTTAAAAAGTATATACATAGCCCTGGCCAGTTTTGCTCAGTGGTTAGAGCATCAGCCTGTGGTCCAGAGAGACCCGGGTTTGGTTCCCGCTAAGGGCACATATCTTGGTTGCAGTTTGTCCCCGGCCCTGGTTGGGTCGTGTGGGTGGCAGCCACTTGATGTGTCCCTTTCACGTTGATGTTTCTCTCTCTCTTTTCCTCTCTCTCCCTCCCACTCTATCTGAACAAAAAATGTCCTCAGGTGAGGATAAAAAAATAAAATAAAAAGTATATAAATAGCCTGGCCGGTGTGGCTCAGTGGATTAGCATTGTTTCATGGACTGAGAGGTCATGGTTTGATTCCCAGTCAGGGCACATGTCCGGGTTGTGGGACCAATCCGTAGTAGAGGGCATACAGGAAGCAGCTGATCAATGTTTCTCTCTCATATCCATGTTTCTATCTTTCTTTTTTTAAATTTTTTATTTATTTTTTATTTTTTATCTTCACCCGAGGACATTTTTCCATTTTTTGTTCAGGTAGAGTGGGAGGGAGAGAGAGGAACAGAGAGAGAGAGAGAAAGATCGACGTGAAAGGAACACATCGAGTGGCTGCCACCCGCACGACCGACCAGGGCCGGGGACAAACTGCAACCAAGGTACGTGCCCTTAGTGGGAACCGAACCCGGGTCTCTCCGGACCGCAGGCCGACGCTCTAACCGCTGAGCCAAACCGGCCAGGGCAATCTTTCTCTCTCCTTTCCTCTCTCTCTGAAAAAAAATCAATAAAAACATATTTTTTAAAAAAGCTTTTAAAAATATATAAATGAGCCCTGGCCAGTTTGGCTCAGTGGTTAGAGCGTCGGCCTGCGGTCCAGAGAGACCTGGGTTCGGTTCCCACTAAGGGCATGTACCTCAGTTGCAGTTTGTCCCCGGCCCTGGTTGGGTCGTGCGGGTGGCAGCCACTTGATGTGTCCCTTTCACATCTATGTTTCTCTCTCTCTCTCTTCCTCTCTCTCCCTCCCACTCTATCTGAACAAAAAATGGAAAAATTTCCTCAGGTGAGGATAAACAATAAATAAATAAAAAAATAAAAGTATATAAATGAAGCTATAATTTTCTATCAGTCTTTTGTTACTAGGCATTTAGTTTCCCTTTATTTCAATATTATAAGTGAAAAAGGGGACTCTAGTACACTCCTGGTGGGAATGCAGACTGGTGCAGCCACTATGGAAAACAGTTTGGTGTTTCCTCAAAAAATTAAAAATTGAGCCCTTGCTGGTTTGGCTCAGTGGTTAGAGCGTCGGCCTGTGGTCCAGAGAGACCTGGGTTCGGTTCCCGCTAAGGGCATGTACCTTGGTTGCAGTTTGTCCCCGGCCCTGGTTGTTCATGCGAGTGGCAGCCACTCGATGTGTCCCTTTCACGTTGATGTTTCTCTCTCTCTCTCTCTATCCCTCCCACTCTATCTGAACAAAAAATGGAAAAATGTCCTCAGGTGAGGATGAAAAAAAAAAAATTAAAAGTTGAATTTCCATTTGATCCAGTGATCCCACTTCTAGGAATATATCCTAAGAAGCCTAAAACACCAATCAGAAAGAATACATGCACCCCTATGTTCATAGCAGCACTATTTACAATTGCTAAGATCTGGAAACAGCCCAAGTGTCCATCAATAGATGAGTGGATAAAAAAGCTGTGGTACATATGCACAATGGAATACTATGCAGCTGTAAGAAAGAAAGATCTCTTACCCTTTGAGATGACATGGAGGGACTTGGAGAATATTATGCTAAGTGAAATAAGCCAATCAGAGAAAGACACTTATCACATGATCTCACTTATTTGTGGAATATAATGAACAAAGTAAGCTGATGAACAAAATAGATCCAGAGACATGGAAGTAGGGAATAGACTGACAAACCTCTGTCTGGACACAGACAACAGTCCGGTGAAGTGGGGAGGGAGTGAGGAGGAAAGTCTCAATGGGGAAAAAAGGAGGGACATTTGTAATACTTTCAACAATAAAGATAACTTTAAAAATATATTATAAGTAATACTTTATAGGTTCAATCCTGTACATAGTTTGTTGCATATCTGTGGTTATTAGAATAAATTCTTAAAAGTAAAATTTGTTGGAAACGTACAGTTTTGAGGCATTTGATATGTATTCTTGTACTGCACCGTAGAAAAGGCTTACTCATTTATAAGCTCACAGTAGTCTGAGAGTTCCTGTTTTCCCATATCTTTTTTGTTGTTAATTCTCACTGGAGGATAATTCTTCCATTGATTTTTTTTATAGATAGTGGGAGGGAGAGTGAGAGAGAGAAAAAGAGAGAGAGAGAGACAGACAGAGAGACAGAGAGAAACATCAATGTGAGGGAGACACATTGATTAGTTGCCTCCTGCATGCTCCCCGACCAGGGCTGGGGATAGAACCTTCAACTCAGGTACGTGCCCTTTACCGTGAATCGAACCCAGGATGCTTTAGTGCGTAGGCCCATGCTTTAACCACTGAGACACACCAGCTAGGGCTGTTTGCCCATATCTTATTAAATACTAGGAATTACTATTTTTATTACTTTTGCCAATTTTATATGCAAAATGTTATTTAAAAAAAATCTGCACCTCAATTATTGATAACATTGAGTAGTTTTGTTTTTTTTATTTTCACTTGAGGACATTTTTTCATTTTTTGTTCAGATAGAGTAGGAGGGAAAGAGAGGAAGAGAGAGAGAAAAAAAACATCTATGTGAAAGGGACACATCAAGTAGCTGCCACCCACATAATCCAACCAGGGCTGGGGACAAACTGCAACCGTGGTACATGCTCATAGCAGGAACCGAACACGGCTCTCTCTGTACTGCAGGCTAATGCTCTAACCACTGAGCCAAACCAGCCAGGGCACATTGAGTAGTTTTATAGATTTATTGACTCTTTTCTCCTTTTGACCTCTTTTGAGTTTTTTTTTTTTGTTTTTTTTCCTGGAGTGCCTCATTTTGGAAAAAGCAATCTTCCTTAGCTTTGTGGGTTCTCTTTAATCCAGTGATGAGACTCATGCATGCCCTGTGCTGTCTATTTGCCTTTATTAATTTCCCAACCATTTCTGACTAGTCCCACTTAATGAGAAATGCAAACTATACCTTACCCACCTAAAGATCCAGGAGCCATTCTTGATTTAGGCATTGCAGAGCTCTGTAATACAGGCTGTTCCATCTTTTCCCTAACATGACAAGGCTGATGTGCTGATACGATAACCTCATACAGTCCCTTTCATATACAAATCTGACAAAAGTTGGGCAGTAGAAGAGATTGGATGTCACTTGCATGGGTTTTGTATATGTTTAGTTTTTCTAGTGCTTGCACATCCATTGTGATTCTACACTTTATGATTGAATATTTATAAACTACCTGTAGGTATTACCCATGTATTATAGATGATGGACCCAAAACACAGAAAGTCTACTTAGTTCATCAGTTACAAGTTCAACCACCAATCTAATAATGTCATTCCAGATCCAAAAAGGCACCCCCATTTTTCTCTTCTAAACCAGAAATTATTGAGGTTATTTTTAGGGATGGAATTTTTTAGGGTTTCCTTTTAGGTCACACTGTGTCCACAAAGCTCAGAGGAGGCCAAGGGGGCTGAGGATGGCGTCTGGGCTCTATATAAGTTCTAACATTTTCTAAAGCCATCCTGTGTTTAGATGTGGTGCTAATTCTTCCAGGGGATTTGCCCAGGCACATAGACAAGAACTTCCTTATAGACTAGGATATATATTTCTCTCTCTCTCTCTTCACTGTCTCTCTTTTTAAGCATCAGTTTGAGGAATTATATGCGGTCTGTAAGTCAGTATTTTTTTTTTTTATCCTCACCTGAGGACATTTTTTGACATTTTGTTCAGATAGAGTGGGAGAGTGGGAGAGAGGGAGGGAAGGAGGGAGGGAGAGGAGAGAGAGAGAGAGAGAGAAACATCGACGTGAAAGGGATACACCGAGTGGTCGCCACCCACATGACCCAACCAGGGCCGGGGACAAACTGCAACTGAGGTACGTGCCCTTAGCGGGAACCAAACCCGGGTCTCTCCAGACTGCAGGCTGACGCTCTAACCGCTGAGCCAAACCGGCCAGGGCAGTTAGTATTTCTTTTGAGCTTGGCCTTAAACCAAGGAATTCACCTTGGCTATCACTCTTCTTACGGTCATTCAACATATTGTTGCAGAAAGAGAATGGAAAATGTGGGTTCTAATCGTCACTTGTGTGACTTTAAGCCTGTTAGACCAGGTCCTTTAATGAAGCAGAGGTTATGTGGGATATGATATGGGGAAAACATCGGAGGATGTATATGATCCAGTTAGGTGACTGCCTATCAAATGCTGCTTCATTTGTACTTCTATAAGGAATTTGGTCTTCAAGTAGAAGTTATTTTATTTATTTTTGTTAATCCTCACCCGAAGATATTAGTTTTTCCCATTGATTTTTTTTTTAGAGAGAGTTGAAGAGAGGGAGAGGAAAGAGAGAGAGAGAGAGAGAGAGAGAGAGAGAGAGAGAGAGAGAGAAAGAAACATTGATGTGAGAGAGGAACATCTACTTGTTGCCTCTTCAAGTGCCTGGACCAGGGCCAGGGAGCGAACCTGCAATCCAGGTACATGCCCTTGACTGGGAATTGAACCCATGATGCTTTGGTCCACAGGCCGACACTCTAATCACTGAGCCAAACTGGGCAAGGCAGTAGAAGTTATTTTAAAGGTCTAGTTTACTTACCTTGCAGGCCATATCAAATGTATAGGGAAAATGCTTTGTAAGCTATAACAGATGGTTATTATATTGATTATTTATTTACTTCCTTAATCAATATTTTTTTGAAAACTTATTATGTATCTAACACTCTGGTGAGTACTGGGGGAGATAAAAATGATCCCTTCTGTAGAAATGTTTCGAATTTTATTGAGAAAGATAATTTTATTGAGGAAGTTAGGTACATTTAAGGCACAGTACAGACAGCATGTAGCTTCTTTGGTAAGAGGATTCTTACTGAGAGCTAGTGTATTGGGGGAGGTTTCATAGATAAGAACTTTGAAAGATAAAAGATCTGGGTAATTGCACAGGAGGGACGAGGGCCGCGAGGTAAAGGCCATTTGTTGAAAGTTTTGTTCTTATTATGTGTTGAGATAGAAAAGAGAGTTCTCTGTATGTATTATTGCCTTAATGAATAGAATATAGACTTTGCTTTCTGAAAAGTATATGATAACTGTCTTGGAAAACTGATGTTTTAGGCGTTAAGGAACATGCCTGCCTGGAGTTATGCTCAGATTTAAATTGAGCCATAGTTAGGTATAATTTGAGAAAAGTATGAAACATCTCTGGACAATAGGACAAATAAACATGTCTTAATATAGGCTGTCCTCAAACCAAATGATATAATTACATATACAAAGTACATACAGGTGGCTAAAATACTTGCTGTCTGCTGTTCACTGCTCAAAAATCTGAAATGCTGCAGTGTGACAGCGACCACACAAATGCATTTGAGAATGTTCTGTAAACTTTCTCAACCTTGGGGTGTAAAGCAAAATCAGTTGTCTTTGCCTCATATATGACACAACTACTGATTTTGCTTGGGTCAGAAAGTAATTCCTGGATCTCCCTGGGGAAGGGACCAAAAGGTCCTTGACATTCAATCACCAGGAACCTTCACCTGAGCTCTGCGGGGAGAGCCACACGCTGCGGGTGTGCTGGGAAAATAATTGAAAGTGTCCATGGGGAATTAAGAAACAGATGGTTCAGAAACCACTTTGGGGCTTGCGGAAGGACTTCAGCCCGAATATAAGAATGTAGACCAAGAAAAAAATCTGTGTCAAGGGCAACTGGACGTCAATTCCTGTGGTGTTTGTCATTGGTAAACATCACTTTACCTGATGGAAACATCACATCCATAATGGTGTTATATATCACCTTATACTGTGCATTTCAGAGCTGAGATATTTTCTGGCTAATATCTCATGCTTGTAGGAAACTGTTTCTGGCTTCCATTTTGTAAAAAGGAACAAGAACAACAGATGGGGTGAGAATACTTCTCTTTTCCCTCAGTTCCTTTGGAAGTAGTATATGGGTTCATTCTGGGAAGACAGACATTTATATAATAGTTTGTTTTGATTAATCTTTTGTCAGAAAAAAGATCTCTGTAAAAATACAGTGCAGGTACATATATATAAGCCAGGTTTTTCTGATACACTCCATGTCCAACTGAGAAATACAGTGAATTGTGTTTAGCCTTTGTGACTAATTTCCCATCCAAGGGACAAAAGTTTTCTCTTCAGTGGTTTTTTAAGGCAATGATGTCATAATAAAGCAAAATGAATTTTAAAGTGGTCAGACTACATTACAAACCATTTTGATATGCAGGTAAATATTGTGACAGGAGGCATGTTTTGAAAAAGGGTAGGAAGAGAACAGGAGAGGAATTGTTTGCAAAGTGAAGAAATTATTATTAGGTATCCTGGATGACACTTTGACTTGGAGGATTTACCTTTTTTCAAGTCAAGTATGGGTTTATGTTTCACTTCACTAAATCGGTCTTCCTCAAAGACTGGGACTCAAACAGACGTGTATTCCCAGCAATGCCTATTTGTACTGTGTTGCACACAGTAGGTGCTTAATGTATACCTGCTTATTTGGTTTGCCATGATGGGCATCAGTAATTATTCCCAGGTCTCTAATTTTCCCCCTACATTATAAAAAAAGTTTAAAAATAAAGCAAAGAGACTATTTATTATCGTGAAAGTATTAAGATTATTTATAACAATAGCTCTTTTGTTTTATTAGTCCAGTGAGCATTAGCCTTTATTGTTCTTGGTAAAATGTTATTTACCTGGAACTAAAAGCCTTGGTGTTATCTTAGCCAAAGAATGTGTGTTTAGCCGAGAATGTAATTAGGGGAAATACTTAAGGGATTGTCAATGCAATGTTCTTTTAGTTCTTAAGCAATCTATATCCTGCTAAAATGTTTGTCTTTTTTTTCTTTCTTTCCTTCTGGCTGCTGTTCCAGGTCCCTCATTTCACGTGAGTCTTTGGCGTCCACGACTTTGAGTCTGACAGAAAGTCAGTCGGCTTTGAGCGTGAAACAAGAGTGGACTCAAGGCTACAGGGCTCTCCCCTCGCTCTCCTCCAGCCACAGCTCTCAGAATGGCATTGATCTAGGGGACCTTTTTAGCCTTCCTCCGGGGACAGCCATGTCCGGCAATAGCGTCTCGAACGCATTGCCATCCTACCTTTTCGGTATGGAAAATAGCCACTCTCCTTACTCCAGCCCCCGACACTCTTCCGCCCGGTCTCACTCGGCCCGCTCCAAGAAGAGAGCGCTGTCCTTGTCCCCGCTGTCCGACGGCATCGGGATAGACTTCAACACCATCATCCGCACCTCTCCCACGTCCTTGGTCGCCTACATCAACGGGTCGAGGGCTTCCCCGGCCAACATGTCCCCGCAGCCCGAGGTCTACGGGCATTTCCTGGGCGTGCGCGGCAGCTGCATCCCCCAGCCGTGCGCGGTGCCCGGCAGCCAGAAGGGCGTGCGGGTGGCCAGCGGGGGCCTGGCGCTGCCGGCCTACGGCGAGGACGGCCCGCTGGAGTACGAGCGCATGCAGCAGCTGGAGCACGGCGGCCCCCAGCCCGGCCTGGTCAACAACATGGTGGTGCAGCACGGCCTGCCGGGCCCCGACGGCCAGCCCGCCGGCCTGCTGAAGACCGAGCGCCCGGACGACTTCCCGGGCGGGGCTCTAGACCTGCCCTCCGCGCCGCCCCTGCCTCCTCTGCCACCCCTGCCCCAAGGCCCCCCGCCCCCCTACCATGCCCACCCGCACCTGCACCACCAAGAGCTGGGCCCCCACGCCCAGACGCTGGCCCTGCCCCAGACCGCCCTGGAGGACGATGGGGAGATGGACGACGTCGGGGGCAAGCACTGCTGTCGCTGGATCGACTGCAGTGCCTTGTATGACCAGCAGGAAGAACTCGTGCGGCACATCGAGAAGGTGCACATAGACCAGCGCAAAGGGGAAGACTTCACCTGCTTCTGGGCGGGGTGTCCTCGGAGGTACAAGCCGTTCAACGCCCGCTATAAACTGCTGATCCACATGCGAGTCCACTCCGGAGAGAAGCCCAACAAGTGTACGGTGAGTTTTCCCGAGCCCATGGGAGCCCATTGAAAGGGCATGTGTTTTTCCACAGTTGGCCGGCAAGTCAGGGGACATTTTTCTCCTTTTATGGAATGTGGATGACGCGCGGGGTCTGGGTATCCATGAGATTTGACTCCTCTTAAGTCTGAGGAAGGGGAAGATTTCTTATTGGCTACTGGGTATCCCTTCACTGCTTGATTCTATTCTGCTAATGTAAACGATCCACCATGTCAGGAGAAGTTCATCTTCCACAGGGTCCCAAATCTTGGAAAACAGATGCCTGCCAGGCACCAACTGGAAGTTGCTGAAATGTGCAGAGGAACACACACTGCACCATCATCAAGCTATGTCTTTTCCAAAGCAAATATTCAGTGATTTTTCTTTATCTCCCTCTCATAACTGGGCTAGTATTGGGGTTGGGGGAGGGCTGGTTCTGATATTGGAGAGGGACTCACACTTAGCAGATCGGCTAGTGAACATGTTGCTGCATGCACCCTCTCTCCTGCCTGCACTCTGCACAATCCAGGGTGTGAGGCTGGTTAATGATTTACAGCCAGCATAAAGCACTCGGGATACCACAGGGGCAGGAGCCCACAGGAGCTCCCTGATTTTGTGGGAAGGATAGGAGAAAGAACCAACACCTTTGGTGTTGAAGGAAGTGGGCGTGGGCATGGTGTCTCTTTCTCCTCCACCTCCCCCTTTCACAACATCAATGCTGGAACTATCTCTGTTTCTTGGCAAAATTGACTATTTTTTAATAATATGACTCTTAAATGATTTCACAATCATCTCACACCTCACAGAAGCCCTCAGTGTTTATAATCAGGACATCACCCTTGGGATCACAGGGCAGTTTTGCACAATCTCAGACAGCTCACTTAACTCTTGAAAAAAAAAGAAGAGCATGCATTTTATATTAGTTTAGATGGACAGGATTATTTCTTTTTGAGCTAAAATCTGAGAGTTATAGGGACTCCTTGGATATTGAATATGCTCAAGGTCACTAAATGTATGAAATATATAAATAATTTTGAACTTATTTAGACTGAGATCCCCCAAACAGAATTCCTTCTTTCTGTAGTATGTCTTGATGATAAAGAATCTGGACCATGTTTATTTTCTATTATAGATTGGCCAAGTTGTCCGATTCATGCAAAAGCAAACCAAACAGGTGATAGCTATAATGCAAGTATTAGAAGCACTTTTTCGCCATCCAGTAGGTATTTTTGAAAGAGTTTTAAGAATTTCTGGCGGAATGAAATTGTATTTCTTGTTGTTACATTATGCCCCATGTTGTGATTTTTCTTAAGGAAAACCTGAAGCTGATACACTGTGAGACTGCCAGGTTATATGAGTGAAAAGAATAATTACATTCCAGGCGGCAAAACCTTAGTCTGTCAGTAGGGTTCTGCATTAAAAATGCCAGAAAGAGACAAGCAATTGAAGGCAATTCCATTTACTCTGTTTGGAACACACAGGCCTATTGCAGTCAGGAAAGACATTCAGTCTCTGAACGAAAACAGTCCAACCTTTTAGTTGTGACTAATCCTGGCTGAAAATAGTTTGCTGGATTTGGTTTTACTGAAAAAACAAAACAAACAAACATAAAGGCTTAAATTATCCAAAAAAAATATTTTTTGCGTTGCAAAATTAATTTTTGTGCAATAGGATTTCCCCATTTTCCCACTGTTCTTAGACTTTGCAAAGGCATATAACAAGTTGACTTTTGCTAAAGTGCATGATGACTATTAAAAATAGAAATACTTCAGTGAAAGAATAAGCTGAGAGGTGAATGTTTGCAGGCCTCTGCAAAGCTTTTCACTCTACTTATTGTTCAGAATGGGATGGGAAGTGATTTTTCTCTCCCCTAGTCTGCCCACTTCCCACTTCTAAATGGAATCTTTTCAAAATTCAGGTTGTTAGATTTAATTTCATATCAAATTTAGAACCACAAAGCACTTACTTATACATGTTATAGTGCAAGTGTATGTATACAAAACAGGGTTTCTTAGGAGCTGACTAATGCTACAGTTCTAGTCTTGGGACTATGTATTTTTAGCAGGAAGACTTCCATTTTCATATAACACATACATATCATGAACATTATGTCTTCTGAAAACTGTTATGTTGCTACATGTCATTTGCTTGATTTGTAAGGCTAAAGCTAACTGGCAACAAATAATTTTACTGTGAAAGTTTAGCAGTCTTCTCAAGTTCTAGTCTATTGATAGAAGACATTGGGCTTAATGTGAATGAACATCTGAAAAAGATGCATTTTTCTGCCTTTTGTAAAACCAATCTTTACACTCTTGGAATCCAGATACAAAGAACTGTTAAAACTGAAATGTTTCATCTCCTACTGCTTTGAAATCTGATGGTAGTTGATTCAAAGCTCAAGTCCCTTGCCAAGTAAAATGACCGCATTCCTCTTTTGGAGACATGAAGTGATTGTTGGGTTCTTGTGGCTGTGTCACATGCTGTAAATACTAGGAGCACTTTAAATTATAAGACCCAGTTCACTTTTGTTTTACATATGTTTAACTGCTATTAATTTTCTGTGGACCATTGTTGGAGTTAGTCATCATTTTCACTCACTCAGCTTATTGACCCAAGAAAGATGTGATGACCCAGTTGTGTTTGGTGACCATGGCTACAGGCAGCACAATGAGCTTCTGGGAATCATAGTAGAAGAAGGGTGTGTGAAAGGGCTACTCAGTGACAGCCTGCTTACAGTAAGAGGCTACTGCTGGTGTCCTCCCTTGATGCCACGTTTCATGTCGTGCATGGGAGAACACATTCTCAGAATCTCGGACTATAATTCCTCAGTCTTACCCAGGACTCTGGATTCAGACCACTTAAGGTTCTAGGTGGCAGGACTGGGGTAGGATCTTTAATGTATTATCTGGTTAACTTACTGGAAGAAGAGAATTGTTTTTCTCTTTCCCACCCAAACAACTCCACCCTTGGGTATATCTCATTCTTACTGCTTCTGTGGATAGCCACACCAGGTGCTCTCTTTCCAGACCTGGCTTGGATTGCAGAGCTATTCCTAGCCAGTGGCGAAAGCCGTGAGAAGTGAAGGCCATGCTAGGCAGACGGGCAGAACTCAGTTAAATCAGAAACTGAGATACGGCAGTATTCTATTACAAGTATCTGAGTCTAATCACTGCTGTCTGCTAATTGAAGTATTTTCTAGGTGCAAAATCATTCGTTTTAAACCTTCCTGAATTTAGACAAACCTCATTGTTGATGAATCTTGGAATTAACAGAACTTTTGAGCATTTTTGGGTATAACTCTGCTGAATTCTATTACATTTTTTCTGAGATGATAAGGTTTCAAACTCCTAGGTCAGAACAAGTCTTGGAGTCTCTAAATTTCTTTCCTTGGCCCCTGTTTCATGCTCCTAAAAGTGTAACTCACAAGTATAGATGTACACTAACCATCCCTAACAGTATACATAGTAATGGTTCCAGCGGAGTGTATGCTGAGAATGTTTTTACTGTAGGTCTTTTTGCTATTAAGTTGAAGAGTGTGCAGTGCCTGGGTAGCATTCTCGGGAAGGTGTGTTGTGAATGAGCTGAAGCATGGTCAGTCTGCCAGTACGCTTCATGAGAAAGCCTATCTGATCGGAGCAGAGTAAGGAGAGGGACCGAATCTTGTTGCCAGGATCAGAAACACTGATGGCTTCCTTCATGCACAATAGAAAGCAGTTGTGCTGGAGGATCGGGAGTGTTAATAAGGGAATTAGGGGGAATGTGGGTCGCCACTTAAATTTTTCTTATTTTTCCTGGATGAATTTTATCCAATAGCAAAAAGGAATTTTGCAAAACTTTTACCCACCCACAGATTTTCACGAAAATGTCACTGACCAAAGACAGCTTTGAATTTTGTATGAATTGACTCATTTCTCCACAGGCATTTTGCCTGGCAAAATCCAGAGTATTTGCTTTGGCTTGGAGACTGGGCAGTTTGCTTTTTAAGTAACATTGGATTATGAGTACAAGAAAATAAATACAGAGCTAGGGCCATGTCCCCATTCCTCTTTAATGGCCTGATTTATGGCTTCATGGGCCAGCATTAGCCATGAAAGACATTTCTTGAGGAAAAGTAAATTCATTATAAGCTGTGGAAGGTTTTTTTCCACATCCTTTATTTTGTTATTTTGATAAGACTTGGCGTTGATGGTGGTAACCACAATAATATAACCAGAAGAGACCTTAGGAAAATATCATCTAAGCATAACTATTAGTTACCACTCCACAATTCATTTTGGCACAATTAATAAGTTCTCATATTGTCAAGTATTGATGAGGGTATGAAGAATGGGGAATGCTTTGATACTACTGGTGAGAGAAAATTGGTGTAACCACTTTGGAAAAATATTGGGGAGTATGTAGTAAAGAAGAAGATGAGTATATCCAACAAAACTATATCTAAGTATCTACCCTACCTAGTGCCTCTGCTTTTAAAAATTGTAAATAGTCTCGCCAGTATGGCTCAGTGGTTGAGCGCTGACCCATGCACCAAGAGGTCACCGGTTCGATTTCTGGTCAGGACACATGCGCAGGTTGTGGGCCCGATCCCCAGTGGGGGGTGTGCAGGAGGCGGCCAGTTGATGTTCTCTCTCATCAATGTTTCTGTCTCTCTCTCTCACTTCCTCTCTCTATAATCAATAAAGGAAAAATAATTTAAAAATAAAAATTGTAAACTAAGTACCCGTAGATAAGGTAAATCAATAAACTATGGTTTATTCCCAATGAGATAATATAAGGGAGTGTAAAATTAATGAACTAGACAAAAAAAACTCTAGATAAGCAGAGATATGCTAATATGGATAAATCTCAAAAAGCAATGTTGAATGAAAAATTAAATGCAAAAGGATATACACAGTGTAATACAATTTATGTACCTTTAAACACACACACACACACACACACACTAAGCAGTCTTATATAGTTGTATATACATAACTACTTGCCTAAACAATAAAACTGTG